ATATTTCTGGCAATGTCATATGTCACTTGTCATTGTTGTTTCCTGTTTGCTCCATCTTCATGATTATTGTGACAGCCGTGACCTCGTGAACGTGGTGCATTTTTAAATTGTACTTTATTTGATAAGATGTTTTAGAAGAAGGTAAAAAATAGAATGTGACAAAATAATAAAGTGTATTAAACCGAATTTGGTATTTTACAGATGTATGGCATTGTTGAGTTTGAAAAACCGGATGATGACGATCTGGCGGTTGTGAGGTGAGCAGAAAATGGCTAATGCTGCGTTAAAAACAAGTCTTGGTGAAGAAATATATGAAGAAATATAATATAATATAAGAATGGTGAGTAATGTTATACTTTTATTTTTTAATTATGAGTTATTTCAGGGTATTTTTTAATAGTTTATTTAAAAATAAAAGATTTGTAGGGGGTCACTTGATTTAGATACCTTTTATCGATTCACAGAATATATGATCTTTTTTTTAATACTTTTATTATAAACTCAGACTATATGTATACCTCTGAGAAGGTAGTTTTTGGGGCTACTACCTCAATCTCCGGTGAAGTAATCCCCTCAGATTTTACAACTAGATACACAATTTACTTTCTATCTTTAAGAATTTTCAGTGGTATTTGAATAGTTCTTTTATTTTAGATGATAATGATAAGTGATGTACCAAATTAAAAAAAGTCGAAGTTACCTCAGATCTACATCCGAGGCTGATAAAGTACCTACTAAAAGAAAACAGGTGCCAACTAGAAAGCTGTCATTCGATGATACTGAAGATGATGAAATCGTAAAGCATGCCTGCCCACCCCCAATTAAAATCAAATCTACAATTTTAGGTATGTTGTGTCAGTTCCTCTAATATTCTTTTGTCATTTTATTCCTTTTGGTTTCTTGCACATGACTTTTTATTTACCAGTGTAATTTATTTTTTATAATATATTTTTCATGTGTTTTTTGGATTAAATAAATAACTTTCATCTGCTTAGTATTTTTAATAATTCCATCCAACCTTGGGACACCCAATATAGACGTCACTTTGACGTTAGGTAGATTCGTGATAATGACGTCAATTTGCCTAGCCTAGGACACCCGATATACACGTTACTTTAACGTAATATTGATTCGTCAAAATAACGATATGGAATGACGTCATTTCGCTGTGACATTCTCACGTTACCATAACGTTATTTTCACGTCATCAATAGACGTAACACACACCAAAAAATCACGTCATAATGACGGCATGATGTTGCATGGGATTTTTTCACATTACTATGTTATTTATAATCCACATAAATTAACCCGTATAAATAATAAACATTAGGGCTGAGATCAAAGAAATTTTCATCAAATTTATTCTATGCTACCTCAGGAGTTCCTTAAGGGTCCTGTGAGGCGAGATGTCGCTTTTGGCAGGAGGCGTTTGATACGCTCCCACTGCTTCAAGCGAACATGGACTCCATCTCACCGATATATATCTTCCATAAGCCATATAAAGTTATAATAGAATAAATAGAAGAGCCAGAAGTGGAAGATACGATTCATATCTACACCGACGGTTCTAAAACAAAACAAGGCTCAGGATGCGGAATATACTCCCGATTCTTAAACCTAAACATAAAATGGGCTGTGAGCAATAGTGCCAGTGTAGTTCAAACACAGCTAACGGGGATTATCATAGTATCAAAAGAAATAACCAGAAATAATATCACTGGAAGGAACATGCTCATCTATACAGATAGCAGACAAGTACTACTCACCCTGAACAGACCACAAATTTATTACTTCGCCGTCTACGTATACGCTATCATCGCGACATTTCAAAGAGGCTATCAGTATGAGAGGGTCTTTGGAATGGATTCGGGTCGAAGCTGCCCCCTTTAAGCCAACCCGTTTTAGTTTTCTTGCGGCGTGTTGTCTTTAGTTGTTGGGACCCTAGGGCGTTTGCACAAACTGCGTACATGTTCCAGTTCACTGCAATTCCAGCACCTGATGGTCTTTGTCTTCATATTTTTATCAGTAAAAGTCTTCATTATGTTAACTAGTTGGTCAAGTTTATCTTTTACGTTTTCTTCTTTTACAGTTCTCACTTTACTGTATCCTCCAGAAGCCTGTGTAGCTGCCTTAAACTCTAAAACAGCGGACAAGACATAGACCAATGTTTTCTCGCGGACTAAGCGAAGTGTTTTCTGCATCTAGTGGTCACGGAGTCCATCAACAAATGTTTGGACTGCTAAACATTCCATCATGTTTTCCGGAGCTGATGGGTAAGCAAATCGCACCAACCTTAAAACAAAAATAAAGACATTCTATAGATGATGTATTTCGTTTCAGCAACTAGCAGATCTTCTGATAGCTCGTCAAGTGATCGGAAATCTCAAAGAATCGGCCGTGCCGTACATGTTGGAACACATGCGTTTGGCTAAAATGAGTTTCGATATGTGGGGCGCTTTGAGCCCGTTGAACAGTAAATCTCCTCCGGGTACCGAAGAAACGCCCACGGAAAATGGAGACAACGAAACTAAAGACGATAATGCTGAACAGTTAAATACTAAGAGAACCATGAGTCAGGCTGAGCTGGAAAGTACTTTGTACAAAGTAAGTGTTTTTGGAAAGAATCATTGATGAATAGTTAAAGCAGTAAAGGTCCTAAATTGGAGCTTTGAGAGATACCTGATGTACGGCAATACATTGTAGAATATAAATCTTTGTAACATGATATACAGTGTGTAATAAAAAGATTAACAGTATATTTAACCACAGTTTTTGGGGTCGAAAAATCACTTTTAAAATGTATACTTTAACTCCCTGTAAATTTTTTACTGTCAGTTTCTTACGCAAACAATTTAGCTTAAATCGACTAAATATCGACCCCAAAAACTGTGGTATTGAAGTACTAGAATGTCACGAAGCTTTGACCGAAGTATCCATCAACAATGCGGTCACCTTAAGATGGATCAAAGGTCACGCCACATCGAAAATTAACCGTCTTGCCGATTCACTAGCCAAGAAAGCAACCAACCAAATACTTTTTGGACCTGGCCCTTCTATTGGCCTGACAAAATCGGTAGTGACACACCTAATTAAAAAACATTCCCTTGTGAAATTTAAGGAAAGATGGGATGAAACAAGAAACTACAGAGTTGCCAGGGAGCTCTTAAGTTATCCTGACAACACTGCAGCAAACATACTTGACTATGACTAGATAGAATCTGCGTCTGGTCACAGGCATTCTAACTGGCCATTGCCAAGTACGGAAGCATCTCCATATCATGGGGCTGTCAGAATCCGCACTCTGCAGAGGGTGCGAACAAGAAGATGAGACCATCGAGCATATCCTTTACGATTGCCTGACGCTCTCATTTATTAGAAGATTTATGTTCGGCGAGTATCGGCTAACACCGGCCGATATAGAAGAAGACTGACTCACGAGCTAGGAGGTGCCTATCATCTTAGGAGGATGCACAATGGGCCTAATGAAGCCTAAGTGCTGTGGAGGTAAATCACCCTCTACACGTTACAGATACAGAGATGGGTCCTCTACTTTTCTTGTATTTTATTAATGATATCACTGATTATATCGCTTGTTCCAAATTGTTACTTGCAGATGATTTAAAAATATTACTTGAAATTTCTGATATACGTGATTGTTTATTCCTTCAAGAACAATTAAATAATTTATATGATTGGTGTATGCGCAATAAGTTTTTTCTCAACATATGAAAATGCAAAGCTCTCAGTTTTAAATAGAAGGTAACAGACTATGGGGTCTATTCTGTAACAATTCCTTTATATTTAGCGGCCTTTAAAAATATTGGCGGCCTATAAAAATATGTTCGTATTCGTTAATTTACTTCTATCATTATTTAAACAGATTTATTTAAGATAGTCCTCTAATGTATTTTAAAGATCCGTTTAAATAATGACAGAAGTAAAGAAGAAAATATTTTTAAAGGCCATTAAATATAAAGGAATTGTTACAGAATAGACCCCTATAACTCAATTATTATACTCAAATACGAGCAGACAAAAAAATTAAGACATGTAAGATTTTAGTGGCATCCTGTTTTCAACTGAATTTTATTTTCTAAAAAACTAAAGTTCATAGGGGAAACCATCTAAAAACCTTCAGAACTTAAACAATTTTATACTTCACTAACTCTTTTTTATTGATCATTGTACACTTAGATATCATGTATATTTTGATAAAAATATGTTTAGCCATTTTTGAGTAATAGTAACAATTTACTTCTAAAATTTATATTTTTAAACTCTCTAAGTTTTTTTACTATCCATTTTTTAGCTTAAATAGATTTATTTTCGAACCCAAAAACTTTGGTTAGATTTATTGTACATTTTTTGTTACACCCTATATATTATTGAACCTGTCAAAGTTTGCTGGTAACTATTTTGACAGGGCGTTGAAATGACTAATACTTTACTACCACCTAAAAAAAAAGTAGCATAAAGAGTATTAGTTTTATAAAATCATAATTTAATGACACTTTTTTAGGACAAAGTGACGAAATGTGCAATTTACGTATGTGTTTCTTTAAAGTGAACCTGTAGAATTTCAAGGGGGTAGAATAAAACTAGTTCAACCAATGTAAACCCCATATATTTAACTACTCAAATATTATAGATATTCTAATATTTTTACAATGTGTAGTTCGCATTTATCAGTACGCCAAATTCACTTTTTGCGTACCTCGATAAAACGAACTTTGTTTATACAGGATGGAACTATATTAAATATCAATATAAATACATTACAGAACCATTGAAACATCACACATGTCAGAGGATATAATTCTACGATTAAATATATATTATTTATTATAAAAAAAAATTATTTCTCCAAAAAAAACTAACAAGGAGAGCAGACATCCTAAGCAAAATACGTGAAATATCCCGTACAAATACTCCAATGTCATTTTTGTAGGATTTAAATCCTCTTGATTTTTTTGATAATTGTTGAAAAAATACCGATGCTATATTTTCGTGAATCCATTTTCTAAAACTCTATTAATTATACGATTAAAATGATTTGTAAGTAAAAAACCTTTCTTTATTATTAAAATGATAGATATATTATCGATGAAAGTAAAACAATAAATGTTGGTTTTGTTTTCTTTCAAACTGCCTAGTAAATGATTTGCAATATTTCCTTTAAGAAAAAACGCTGAATCTCCTGATGTTACATCCTGGATACATCTCAGCCAGTCATCACATTCAGTCTTTCTACTTTTAATAACATCTTCAGGAACTTCATCAACATTTATCATATATTTAAAAGAATTAGTCATAAAGTAGGTAGTGAGATTGTTTTCGTAGATTTTTTTCAAGCTGCCATACTTCTGTTCTGTTTTAATATGCATATATTTATGAGTCATTACAGAAATAAAAAATGTTGGTAAATAATAAGCAAATATTATAAACAAAGCAAAAAGGTATCTTAATTTTCCGGATTTTGGAAGACGACTGACTGACATCCCTAAAAATATTGAATAACTGTTCTGCAATATGTCTGCCAAACTTTTATAAAATCTTCTTCGAGGAACTGTTTGTCTATTTACGTACCAGATGATCAAAACAATTAAGGAGAAAGTACAAAACGAATAAATTGGTATACGATGATCGTATTTTAAAGCTAAAACAGTGTAATTTGGTACGCACCAAACATATTTGTCATAGATAAATGGGATACTGCAATCAAAATATAGCATTTTTGGATAACTAATAGTATAAGATCCCAACAGCAAATGCACGTCTCTGGATTTCAATTTTTTAAATTCTTTTAAAACTGTACCATTGCTATAAACTTCACCTGGTGTGGAATTGGTTGATGCTAATATAATTTGAATGTTCAATATTTCGCTAATTAATTTCACCAAACTTACTGTTATTCCAGGATTGCTATTTCTGACCAGTTGATGATACTTATCTTCGATCACATATGGTGGAGCATAGTGATACATACCTTTTACTATTATTTTACTCATATCTTTCGGTAATTGGTTTTTATAAAATGTTCTTGTAGAAAATATTCCATTTTGACAAGAATTAATGCGTATTGTTTTGTTTTTAGTAGCTTTAAATGGATACATTGAATAAGTAAAAAATGTTGCTTCATTTTTAGTGGATGGTATCAGAATAATAGGATTCCAAATTGCTACAGTATGAAGCATATCAATTATATTTTTTGCAAATTGTTCTTGACTCTCCCATTGCTGCAAGAGAATCACTAGAAATTTTGATCCTGAGTTCCATTGTGGTGTCATTTTCAGCATATTAATTAGTTGTGTTAATTCTTTAATACCACTTGAAGCTATAAGGTAATTACTTGCTTTTACGTTATGTCCATAAAATATTGTTTTGTTAGTTAATTGCACAATATGGTAAGGAATAACAGAATATTTACTTATTTCTGATAGTAATAGAAATGCAAACTCGGACGGCATCTTGTTTAAAAATGCAAACGTTAAACTTTCATGTTTTTGGTGCTTAAGAACAATATCGTAGAATTTGCCAATACATTTTGATAATGACATATGAGAGCTAATATTTTGTGTATAACGTGCTGGTTCTATTTTTCCTTCAACATAGCTCAACAAAAATATAACCAATAAAAACAGTTGCATAATGCGTAGAAATTTATCGGCTTTTTTACTGTTAGTTTTTTTTTATGTATGTGTATGGTTCAATAATTCTAGTGCATGATTAACCACTTGAAATTGTTATAACAGTTACACAACGCTTTATATACTTTAGAGCTGATCATTAGGACGACAGTTTTTGCGGTATTATTTTTTTTTTAAATATAATTAGTGGTAGTAATACAGAGTGGCCACTTTTATAATGCTCACTGCATAGATCACATAAACCATAATAGTTACACCATTGTATAAAGAACTAAATAGTAGTCTCACCTTATGGAAGTTTCATTGGAGCGAAATGGATACTACCAATAGATGGCGCTAGTGAATATGGATAAGTGGATATTCGTTTGCAGTGGGCGGAGTTAAGGGTCCAGCAGAAATTTTTGAGAAAGACGAAGACCGATCGATGGATTTCTATTTTTAGCTCTTGGATGAAATTTTATACACTCGTGATTAAATGTTTTAACTATTTTCTATCTAATGTTTGTTATTGTGCGTTAGTGCGTTTACGGGTAGTAGGTATTTTGAATGAGTTGTGTTTATGTTTTATTACTGAATTATTTTACTGTTAATAAAGGACGAGTTCCCAACAAAAGTAACTACATGATTTATATAAAAAAAAATTGTGTATTTATAACTGTTTTGAAATTAATAAAATAGAAAATATGCTTTTGTTTTTCTTTTCCTTTACAGGTTTTATCCGAATTAACTTAAAATAAATTATATAATATTAATAATAGCAATAATAATACATTTCTTAAGTGTTGAAAAAATTGTATTTTTAATTTAAATACGTATACCTATAGGTAGGTAAGTAAGGTACCTACCTAAGTACTTAGCATAAGTAATTATAAACAACAGATTATTTCTTTAATCTGGTGCGTAACAATGTAATAAAAAAAACCTTTAAGATGGTTGGTAAATAATATAAATGAATTCTTAATATTGAAGTAAACACAATGGGTTCTATAAGGATTATTGGTTGGGGTTCGGCTTTGGGGGATAGGGTAGAAATATTGATACTAAAGTTGGTATATGGATGTATTATCCCATAAAAATAAAAATCGCTTTAAAAAATTCACCCCTCCCCACCCCTATATAATATGGTGAGGGTGGCATTTCCAAAAAATTAAGTTAGAACTTTTTAAATAAAACAGTTGATGTCTACGATTTTTTATACATAAAAACACAAAATTACAATTTTTTTGAAAAAAATTTTATAAATTTTCTTTTGAACTTTGAAAAAATTTTGACTTTAATCTTCATAGTTCGGATGTGGGGACTGGCATTTAAAAATAGTTACAAATACATTAAAATCTTATTTTTGGCATATTTACAATAGAAATGATTTTCAACATTTTTGTATAAATATCTTACCACCACCATCCCCTAGAGGGAGATGGATGGTGTGGCATCCCCAAAAAATCAAGTTAGAACTTAAAAAAAAAACTGTTAAAATCTACAATTTTTTATACATATAAACCCAAAATTCCAATTTTTTTATCAAATTATTAAATTAAATTATTTTTTTAATTTCTTTATTATATTATTTAATATTATTTCTACTTTTTCTAACAATAATCAATTTAAGATATCTACTTTGATTGAGCCAAAATATTTAGTAGGGGAAGTTTTTAATAGTATACAAACATACTGTGTGTCCAAAAAAATATATGAATTTGGCTAAACATTAACCTTTATTTCTAAAAACAGGAGAACAATGTTACTTGAAAAATGTATCTAGAATTAATATTTACCACCATCAAATCCTGGACCTGGACACAATTTTTTTTTTAGCAATACGGGAGAAGCGGAAGTGACATTTTTACAAATGAAATTAATTTCAACACATTTATTTGAGATCATGTACAAGATTATTCATTATTAAAGACACCTTTTATAACCACTATTGCATATTCAAAAAAGCTTTAAATAAAAGTTTGTGAATATGACTGACTTTTTTAAATATATCATAAAAACACGTATTCAGATTTCACGGAATACAACACAAATAAACTTTTTTAAATGGGATACCCTCTATGTTATTAAATTTCTGGGATATTTTTTTTCTAATTTCACAAATGTATATTATTGATAACGATAACCCTATCTTATACCGTCTGTTCTCGAGTAATTTAACGTTGATAATGTAAACATGAAAAAGTTAACATTAATAAAGTAAAAGCTATGAAAATCACAACTATTATGTTTGATAATAAAATAATCCAAATAGGTAGTTTACAGTGAGAAAGAAAAAGTATAAATATTTATAAGATATTCGACATAGATTATCTATGATATTCGACGTTTAATTCATCAGGAAAGAATAAAGATCATTTCGAAAATTCAATAAAATATATATCTATGCTATCCTTATTAAAAAATATTCATGTTAAATCTAATGAACTGGAGTGGGGTAGAATGCTTGTCAATAGGCTTGAGATGCGACTCTATGGGCGAAGACAGGTTATTTTCCATCTCACTCGGGAGTATTTATAACAACCATTTTCTATTTCACTTTGTTATTGTCTGATCCACCAGCTTGTGGATTGAACAATAACAATGTGAAACAGAAAATGGTTATTATAAATACTCTCGAGTGAGATGAGAAATAAAAATGGCTGCGCCCATAGAGTCGCATCTTGTTCTACTGATAAAACATGCACATTGGCTTTTTACCCCACTCCTGTTCATTGGTTAAATCCTGTGAAATATGCACACCACTGATATGGTCATTTGATGACATTTTTTACAAAATTCGGTCAATGTAAACATTATACAATAATAATTATAGCATAAAGGGAGGGTAATTTATAATGAATAACCCTGTTAGGTACCATAAATTTTCAGTAAAAAAATTTTAATGCACTTTTTTACGTAGATTAAAGAAAAATGTAATTTTGTGCGTTTTCTTGGTGCAGACATTTTGCGACACACTGTACCTATATTCAAATCCAAAATGATGTATTTTCTTTTAACACATACCTAATACAAATTTATTAGCAAAATTTAAATACTTGTTATTTTCGGTATATTTCTCCTTTAAACACACACATTTTTAGTTTCATTGTCAAAAGATTTAAATAAAATTACCGGACCTTATAATATTCTATTATAATTTGATGATCCCGAGTGGCCATAGCAAAAAGACGAAATTTGAGCATAAAGATTTATATGTCATTAACGTAAAATTCATGTTTTGAAATTAATTTAAGTTTTACCAATTTAGAAAATAAAATTAAATAATAAATAAAAAGTGACCACTCGTGGGTTTGAACTCGGAACCCTTTAATTCCTAGACAAGTACTCTAAATTTTCGTTATGAAGACTTATGAAAAAGTTTTACTTTTTAACGCTGATAATCAGATAGCTTTTAGTTTCATTAAAATCTCAGTTTATTTCTAAATATACACGAATATCTTGTGGAATGCTATTATTGATTGATTCTTCACAAGAATCACTAATTTTTATTTATATTTAATCTAAATAACTAAAAAAATATATACTGACAATTAATTTTACGGAATTGTCACTTATAAAGTTCTAACATCTGACGTAGAGGGCGTATCTAACCAGTAAATAAAATCGTTAGTTCAATGATTGTACCAATAGATAGCGAGCGCGATTGCCTCCAATAACTTTTACATGGCGATTATCCTACTACAGTTCTTTATACAATGGTTACACGCAGGGTTAAATGAAACAAAAGTAATTTGCTAGAAAGGTTATAAAAAAAATACTTAGAAAACACAAAATATCCAGAAACATTTCATTCGGTCTATTTTAGGGTTCCCAACCGTACTCTAAAATAGAGTATTGGCCTCTTTTTCATATAAGTGTACTTTATAATCTACGACACCAAGAGAGTACGCTAAAATACTCTATGTACGTAATCCTGTTACTGGTTTGTTAGTACTGATTTTTATGAGAATAGTGATGAGTCAGCTAATGTTTCAAACTATACAGAAGTCGGTGATACTGCATCAATTATTCTTTGATGAAATATTAGCACTAAATGCAGACAACTCAAATTCTAAATTTGGAGTTAACCACTCTTTGTTTACTAACATAAAAGAGATGGTTCCCGAGTCAATTAAAGGAAATTGTTATAAACACATAGTGCATAACTGTATAAAACACTCCATGAACTTTTTATCTTTTGATATCGAAAATTTAATCCTACAAATGTATAACCACGTTCCACATTCGGCTGTTAAAAAGAAAGATCTTAAAAAATTTGTTAATAGCGTTGATGATGATTTCCACGATCTCAAATACCATGTAGAAACCAGATGATCGAGCCTCTTATCTTACATAGACACTACTATTAAACTGGGAAGCAATCAAAAACTTTTTTTTCAGTTTATAGGAGAAAATTGCCCTATTATTTTTCAGAATTTATTTTTATTGAAGAACAATGATTTAATTGAGATTTATATTCATTTTTGCAGTCAAATTATTATATTGTTTAACAAAACTCTCAAATACCAAGGAGGTAAGTGTATAACAATATTGGATGTTTACAACGTAATGAGTTCTCTCAAAAACGAATTAACGAAAAGAAAGGAAGAAAGGAAGAAACTTTAAAATTGATAAGACACGTTGAAGAATTTTCACTTGATTTAAAAACAAGATTTGTATAATAATTTTAAATTATTTCTTGACAATGGTTCCATCAAGTAGAGTTTTTACAGAGACAAGCTTCCTGACCCATCGACAAAGTACTGACTTCAGGTTATTGACCTGTTGGACACAACCTACTTGGTGTGAAAGGTTCTAACTATCGTACCCTCCTGTATGGCGCCCGAGCAGTGAAAGACAGTCCGACCTCCGCAAAATATGAACAACTGGTTAAGACACAGTACACATCTAATATTTACAAAGAGACAAAAACAAAAATAATTTACAGGGCAATCACAAAGGGCTGCCCAGTTTTAAATTATAAAATACTGCAAAATATCGGACGATGAGGAAAGCCAAGAAGGGTCCGTCAAAGTAGAATGGATCTACAGAACTAGAAAATCTGACAAAACAAACAAACTCTGCCTTCTAATGACACAAACCAGGCCACAAACACAGTCAAGGCGAACCTTTCCATAAACGAAGACATGTGCAAACGAACGGACTCCATCAAAAAATGTCCCCACATTACAACGGCTCCACAGATGCTACAAAATTACTAGTACGTCTCGAAAAACTCCAAATTGCATATGGAATACCAGATAGCGTCATGTTAAAGGTCGTCCCAGAAATACCTAAGGGTAAAGAAACGCTATAGTACCACAACAACAAAAAATACTGGATTAAGTGGAAGGATTTCACAAGAGACTTTATCAACTTCTTTGCAACCACAAATAATACACAGCTACTAAGCTCAGATACGCGACCGAACTCAAAAAGAAAACGAAAAATTCGGGACTACATCATAGATATCCAGACGCTCATCCGCAGATACAACAAATTTGGCTATCAAGAGGAGCTAGACAGAATATACATAATTCTAAGACCACAATACAAGTTAAGACGTCTCGTCAATACAGAACCTGATCAACATGACCAAAGAACATGACGCAATTCAGGCAAGTATACACAAACAAAATTCGATGGGTCATCCACGTCAACAACCCTTACATAATATACAAAGATTCTCGAATTGGAGACAAGCAACACCACCGAATAAGTTCTTAGGAAACAAAATACAAAATTACGACAGACATGCTGCTGGAAATGCGGAAAAAGAGGACACAATCGGAGAGTATTCCGTTTAACTCCAATATTTTTCTGCAGCCACTGCAGAACTTAGGGCATAACATCAAACATCTGCACATGTCACACACAGACGGAAAACACCGAGAGGATTGGTCCCAGAGGGGGCAGCCCAGTCCATGCATAGAGAGCTCCTTGACGTCATGCCAAAATCTAGACACTTCGATAGACCAAAGACCATACGTAACCTTAACATTTAAGAACAGTGAAACACTAAGAGCTTTACTGGTTACCGACACTAAGAGCTTTACTAGATACCTGGTCTCACAAATCTTTCATTGGGGAAAAAGGCAAACAAATCGCAGAAGAATGCAGATCAGATGCCTTCACACAGAACATGAGAATTACGTTATAGCTGACGGCAGATCCACCAACATAGAATACAAATACATAATAAATTGTTCTATTAATAACAACCGAACCAAAGCCATATTTCATGTTCTACCATATTTAGTATCAGAAGCAATCATAGGAGTACTAGAGATGCAAAAATGAGGACTTACATTCTCCAACATTCTCAACGAGATCAGTATGACACAAGAAGATACAACTACCGTATTCATAAACCAATTCGAGATAAACCTAAACCTAAACTATACCAAAAGACAAGAACTCTAAAATCTGCTTCAAACAAAGTTCGAAAAGTGCAATGACGTTAAAGAAGTAACAACTATCACTGAATACAAAATCAGGATTAAACACAACATCCCAATCAGACAGAGATACAGGTTCAGCAATTTTAATTTGATTGAGATTTATGTTCATTTTTGCAGTAAAATTTTAAATTTGTTTAACAAAACTGTCAAACACCTAGAAGGTAAGTGTATAACAATCTTGAATGTTTACAACGTAATAAGTACTTGTGAGTGTGAGGCTAGTGGGAAGAGGACGTGCCAAAAGGAAACATTTACTTTTTAATTTGCCGACGTTTCGACGTTTATTTTTCGTCTTTTCCAAGGCTTATTAAATTAATTAATGCAAGGCACATGGCATGTGTGAAATTTGCCGAAACAGTTAAACCAGAACATTACATAAATAAAATCTAATACTAAAAGTAACATTTACACACAGATATCTTAAAATGATGATAAAATTTTATCTTAAAAGAATATTTAGACTTGTCGAAATTGGATTACCTCTTACGTCTAATATGTTAAGAAGAACAGTTCATTTATTTTGTACAGCAAATAACGTACAGCTCCCACCGATTAAGACTTCTTCCAGAATGATTGGACGAAAATGGTTAAAACTCTTTTTACGTCGACATCCCGATGTTGCTCGAGCTGCTAAGTTGAATAAGTTTGTAGTTGAGGACTACTTCAATACTCTAAAAAACACATTAACTGAACTAAATATCATGGATAAACCACATATTTGATTTTTAGTATGGATGAAAAAGGATGTCAGTTAAATCTCCACAAGCAGCCGGAAGTTTTAACTAGAAAAGGTGTTAAAAGAGTGCCATTGATTGCTCCCGAACATGCTGAAAATGCAACAATACTATCTTGCGGTAATTCATTGGGACAAGCTATTCCACCAGTAATACTTTTTAAAGGAAAACGTCTAAAACCGGAATATCAAGACAATCTTCCTCCAAGGTGCAAAGTATTTATGACACCCAAGGGGAGCATGACTTGTGAAACCTTCGTAAAGTGGATACATCACTTTGCTGAGAATAAGCCTGCAGGAAATGTACTGCTAATTTTTGATGGAGCCAAATCACATTTGGATGGATCTATTGTGACTGCTGCTGATAATCATAATGTTACACTACTCTGCCTTCCTAGTAATTACAGCCTATGGATAAATCCATTTTCCGGGCGTTTGAATATCATTGGGAGGATGAATTGCAAAGATTCTGGGGAGTGCGTTCTGAGCGTAAGCTTACAAAGACAAGTTTTGGTTTAGTGTTTTCTAAGGTTTGGCCTAAAACTGCCACTCCTTCCAATATATCTGCAGGATTCCGTGCTGCAGGCATTTACCCATTCGACTCCACGGTAATTCCCGAGTGCGCATTTGCTCCATCTGTACTGACTGAAAGAAAACTTCCGCCGTCACAAAAATTACAGGAAACTACTCTACCTCAAGCAACGTCTACTCCTAAACAAAAGTTAATTCAAGACAAAAAAAGAAAACGCACAGATTCAAACAGTAGTAACACAAATTCAGAATGCAACTGGATCTCTTCCGATTCGATAGATGATGTCTCAACAGAATCATAAAGTTCTTCTGATGAGAAATATAACGGCAAATGTGACAAATCTTTTGATAATTTGTTGCCAACACCAGACTTGGATCTCGTTAAACAAAACAAAGCTCCACCAAGAAAGTCTATAAATTATAAGGCTGTTAAGTTAAATGAAGAAATGTTTTTTAAGTCCCGGTTAACAAAACAAAATAACTCCAATATTTTAGAAACGAGAAGCCAAATAAAGATATTAAAAATATCAGAGAAAAAGAAGTCCCCTGAAAGATTTAACAATCAGCCATCAGTAAGTGGACAAAAATCTAAGAAAAAGGAATCTTGGTATTGTTTCCTCTGTAAGGAAGAACGACAACTAGATATGAGGCAGTGCAATTTTTGTCAACAGTGGGTACACGAAGAATGCTGTGGATTAACACCGAGAGATGTCTTAATTCCTTTCAAGTGCACCGACTGACCTTAAATTTTCAACTTTTGATTTGTTTTAATTTTTGTTTGGTGTACCAATTTTGTTTCAAGAATTTTATTAGTTTTATTTTGATAAAGATGTCTGTTCTTAATCATTGAAATAAAAAAAATAAAAAAATGTTTATTTTTTACAGCAAACTACTTGAAAAATGAAAAATAGAGCTTTATTCTACTAGAGCCCATATTTGGTGCCCCTGTCCATAATATGTGCAGTTGTACTCATATAACAAAATTGAAAAAATATCCAAATGTTAAATCTCTAGTTGCTTTTTTCATGTATAACTATCTAACCTAATCCGCTCTAAAGGGTTTAGCACTTGTATTATTCCTCTATGATGAAAAACTGAATTTATATGAAACAATTTGCTTAGGTATGCCCGTATTTGGTCGAGGTACCTTACTAAGCATATTGTCAAATGAATTTCACTCGTTCTCCTGACTTTAACAAATCTTTATCAAGGCAAATAAAAATCTTAATTTTCTTTTTTTTTTTAATGCCAGTAATAATTTTTGTTTTACGGTTTTGTATTTTAGACACATTTTTTTTAATGAATAACTCGTTATTACTATGAACTAAATATTAACATTTATAAAAAACAACTATTTCACCCAGAAAAACCAAATTTGAAATCAAACACCCTAAGCTAAATGCTCGAAATATCCAGAACAAGCTCTTCAATTTAATTTTTCTAGGTTTCAGATCCACTTGATCATTTTGATAATTGTTGAAAAAATATCGTTGCCATATTTTTGTAAATCCATTTTCTAAAACTTTGTTAATTATATGATTAAAATGGTTTGTTAATAAATAACCTTTCTTCATTAACAAAATAACAGATATGTTATCGATGAAAGTAAAACAATGAATTTTGGTTCTGTTTTCCTTTAAACTACTAAGTAAATAATTTGCAATATTCTCTTTCAGTAAAAACGCTGAATCTCCTAATGTTACATCCTGGATACATTTCAGCCAATCATCGCAATCGATCTTTCTACTTTCAATAACATATTCAGGAACTTCATCAATATTTACCATATATTTAAAGGAATTGGTCATAAAATAGGTAGTAAGATTGTTCTCGTAAATTTTTTTCAAGCTGTCATATTTCTGTACTGTTTTATTATGTAAATATTTACGAGTTAATGTAGACATGTATAATGTGGTTAAATAATAAGCGAATATGATATGCAAAGCAAAAATGTATCTTAATTTTCCAGATTTTGGTAGACGCCGGACTGATATTCCCAATAAAATTGAAAAGCTGCTTTGTATTAAGTTGGCAAAACTTTTATAAAATCTGTCTCCAGGAACAGTTTGTCTATTTACATACCAGATTATTAAAACGATTGATGAGAAAGTTAAACCTGAAAAAATTGGTATTCGAGAATCGTATTTTAAAGCTGGAATAGCGTAATTTGGTACGCACCAAACATATTTATCAGAGATGAATGGGATACTGCAATCAAAATATAGCATTTTTGGATAAGTCATTACATAAGACCCCACCAGCAACTGTACTTCTGTGGATTTCAGTTTTTTTAATTCTTTTGAAACTGTACCGTTAATAAAAACTTCACCTGGCGTGGAATTACTCGAAGCAAGTGTAAGCTTAAAGTTCAATATTTCGCTAATTAATTTCACCAAATTTACTGCTATACCAGGATTGCTGTTTCTGACCAGTTGATAATACTCGTCTTCGATTACATATGGTGGAGCATAGTGATACATACTTTTTACAGTAATGTTACTCATATTCTTCGGTAGTTGGTTTTTATAAAACGTTTTAGTAGAAAATACTCCGTTTTGGCAAGAATTAATGTGTAATATTTTATTTTTGGTAGCTTTAAATGGATACATCGCATAAGTAAAAAAAATGCCTTCGTCCTTAGTGGTTGGTAACATAATTATAGGGTTCCAAATTGTCGCAGTATGAAGTATTTCAATTATGTCTTTGGCAAATTTTTCTTGATTCGGCCATTGTTGCATGAGTATTACTAGGAATTTTGATCCTGAATTCCATTGTGGTGTCATTTTTAACATATCTATTAGTTGTGTAAGTTCTTTGATACCTCTTGATACAATAAGATAGTTGCTTGCCTTTTCATTATTCCCATAGAAGACTGTTTTGTTACCAAATTGCATAAGTTTGTAAGGAATAGCATAATTACCACCTATTTGCGATAGTAATAGAAATGCCGCCTTTGAAGGCATCTTATCTAAAAACGCAAACGTTAAACTTTCATATTTTTCGTGTTCAAGAACAATTTCGTAGAATTTGCTAACACATTTTGTTAATGATATGTGAGTGCTAATATTGTGTGTATACCGTGCTGGTTCTATTTTACCTTCAACATAGCTAAATAAAAATATTGACGTTAGAAAAAGGTGCATGGTATCTAGAAATGTATCTGTTTTTCTACCGTATTTTTTTATATATATGTGTTTTTCAATTATTCTTGTGCATGACCAACGACTTGAAATCCTTGTTCAATGGTATATTTTTTAACCAATTATTAGCACGATAGTTTCTGCGACAAAGTGCTTTTTTTATTTAAATATTATCATATTATATATTATATCGGGTGTCCTTCATTAATCAAATGATAAACAAATGTAAGTATGGTATATCAAATATAATACAATGATTTATAATTCTTGTAAAATATAATGAAAATAAAAATATAATGAAAATAGGTGTGAGCATAAACATTTTACAACAAAAAAATAATACTTATCTTTTATATATTTATTTAATTAATTTTGTCCAGTATGAGATCTCTCCTTTTCTCAGGGTGTCTAGGTTACGATTTCACAGATTGCTCACTCTTTTCAATAAAACAAAGAAATCAGATTCAATAGGATATAATCAATAAAAAGAGAAATAATGTAATTTGCAGTCAATTAGATGAGATGGAAATGAATGAAAATTGGCTTAAATTAAATGATAAATACAATAAAAATATTCAAAAACCTTTAAAACACTAATCATACTATCCTAGTAATAGATGTTGCCTATTCAAATATCCTCAGTAGAACAGTTATCACGGTTGGCAACACCAATAAGTTACCAGAGTCAGAACTTGTCAGTCTTCAAATAAGGTTAGGAATTTTTATGAACAACAAAAAGAAATGCTCCTGCTTAAGCAAAAAAATCACTTCAAATAAAATTGACTATGAAGCAAGTAAGTAGAAATTTATCAATAATGTTTATAACTAATTTTACTTCATGAAAGAACATCTCACTGATAATTCTTTTTTAGGAATATGTCACTTCGCTCCGCTATTTCTTTCACATCATCGATTGGCTTCGAGAGAAAACAGGGCTCTCCTGTTTTTTCCTTTTCGGTAAGTAATAAAATTTCGTCTACTTCAGTCAGTTTTACAACCTCCAACTTTTTTAGGTTACCTTTCACAAATTATTTTCTGACAGTGTCAGAAATAAAATCAAATGTTTGGTAGGCTCTTGCAATTAAAACAATTGCCGATCAGAGCTCATTCAACGATCCTACCCAAGACGGTCAAAATGATACTGATTTTGACTTTTATTGTCACTCCCAACCTCACTTTGGAATTCTGAATTTCACAAAAATGATAAATTCTGGATTAGAAACTGCCGAATATACTTAAAACTAATGTACAACCTATTCTATATAATTAAAATTACCCCAAACACTGTTCTTTTATGACATTTAGCATAAATCAATGTTTTTTGAACTTAGGTTATCTGATGAGTATTTTACACATATTTCTCTCAGAATACCCTTTAGCAAGGACTTATTGTTATTAAAATGTTCACAAATTCCCCTTACGAATTAAGATTTACTTCCTATGTGCTAAAATAGACAATTTAATATAAAATTCTACTGCTAATTAACGGTACATTTTCAATGATATCAAATGTGACAAAATGGGCCCCAAAATATTCCAATATGTCTTATGGTGCTATAAGAGCATAATATCACTACTATTTTATCCCCTGCCACCAGAAATTAGTTAGATTTTTATAATTTGAAAAATTTATTCGCATAGTTTCCAAATGTCAAATATTGTAAAAACATAATTCTTTTGATTTACTGGTAAAAATCTCCAACACTACTATGGTTGTCTTTTTATATGTTATGCTATCAGAAATATATTCAAACTAACAAATTATCGCAGTTTCAACTCATAAATTTCTCCCAGTGAGATAGTCTGTCATGATTCCTTTGAATGAAGATGTTTTTCGTTTCAATTTTAATTCAAATTTAATTCAAGTCCTTTAATTAATGTTTTGTTTAAATTTTTATGCTTTAAATGTTTTATAATGTTCAAAGTGATTTGTTTTTTAAAATGGTTCATTATATGTGAATTGTTTAAATCCCATATACAGTGTACAATCATAAAATAATAACAGATTTTTTTTTTATTAACTTTATTGAATATTATTATGTCTTCTTGATTGTATTTTTATTTTAACACCTTACAATGATTAATTCATAGTAATAATTTTATATTTAAAAAATTTGAATGCTTTCATTTAATTTTATTCGTCATCTTTTCGTTCAGGTGTTATTCTGGTCTAGAAATTTTACCAATTTTCTATTAGCATCTTTGGGATTTTTTTCAACAGCAAGGATTGCAGTATTATCAGCCAATGTTGCGATAGTAATGGATTCAAGATTAGAACTATCTCTAATATACAACAAGTACATTAGGTACTGGACCTAGTACCTCAGGTATTCTTGCCTTATTTTCTCTTAGGTCGGAAGAGGATGGATTAAAGATTAAGTTTAAAATTTAGTGTTTTTCTCTTCATCCGTTTTTGAGTTATCTTCAAAATTTAAAATTTGCACTTTTCCTCAAATATCTCGAATTAGGTCAATTTTGGGGAAATCATGGTTAACCCTTCGTTAGGCGCGCGGATGACAGTGGTCATCCACGCCCACAATTTATTATAATGTGTCGGATTGGTTAGGCGTAGCAACTTGCCGTTTTAGGTACCTTTCTCGGAATGTTTAGTTAGTGATATCAGTAGTCAATGTATTTTAGCAAAGTGCAGTTGGCTCCGCGCGCCTCATCTCGTTTCTATTTTGTAACAGGTGAATATTTTATTTATTGATTTTTGCTATAGTATTTATTGTAACTCTTCCAGGAAAGTTTGACACGGCCTTTATTCATTCAACTCAATTAATTTAACCTTGTGAGAAGCATGTCGGTGTCTAAAAAACGAAAAATTGTTAGTAACGATCCGAACCAGTTGTTACAATGATTTAACGAATTGAGTGATGAAGAACTTCCTGATGATACAGAAAGTGAGTCAGAGAATGTCCAAATTTACCATTATTCGAGTTTCAATGTAGAACCGTATATTTCAGAAGTTGAATATTCAAGCGACGAAGAAGCAAATGCTTTGAATTTTGAACTTGCAAACATCAAAAACAACTTTTATATAGGAAAAGATGGAGTGATCAAGTGGAGAAAATTGCCTCCTCCCGCCAATGTTCGAACAAGATCATGTAATCTTATCACTCATTTACCTGGTCCGAAACATAAAACTAAAGAAACTAAAACTGAAATAGATATTTTCAACTTATTTTTGGATCCAAACATTTTACAAATTATAGTCACATATACAAATATTTACATTTAGAACATTCGTGGCAAATTTGACCGAGAAAGAGATGCTAGAGACACCGATATCACAGAGATAAGAGCTTTTACTGGCCTTTTATATTTGATTGGATATCTCCGATCATCAAGAAAAAATTTGCATCAACTATGGGATAATTCAAGGGGTAATGGACTAGAATCGCGTTACGTGTCGATGAGCGAAAAAAAGTTTAGATTTCTTCTGAGAAGTTTGAGATTTGACAATCTTCACGATAGAAGTGAAAGAAAGGAGATTGACAAATTAGCGCCAATTAGAGAGATTATGGAATTATTTACCACTAATTTTCGGAAATATTTTTCTCCAAGCGAATACCTTACTGTCGACGAGCAACTGTTAGCATTTAGAGGCAGATGCTCGTTTAGACAGTACATCCCAAGTAAGCCTGCAAAATACGGGATAAAAGTTTTTGCACTAGTTGATTCAAAATCAGCATACACGCTCAGTCTCGAACCATACGTAGGCAAACAACCAGATGGGCCATATAAGTTAGCAATTCGGCTGAAGACATTGTCCTCCGTTTAGTAGAGCCTGTTTATGGTACAAACAGAAATATCACAGGCGATAAAACTGGTTTACCAGTTTATCACTGGTAGAAAAATTGAAGTCTAAAAAGCTGACCTATGTTGGAACAATTAGGAAAAACAAGCGCGAAATACCTAAAGAATTTTTACCTAGTAAAGGAATAGCAGAAAAATCATGAATATTTGGTTTTCGAGATGATAACACCATAGTGTCATATTGCCCCAAAAAGAATAAAGCAGTACTACTATGCATTTTGATGAAGACATTGATGATACTACAGGCGAGGATCTGAAGCCTAATATTGTAACGTTTTAAAATATGACAAAAGTTGGGGTTGATTTTGTGGACCAATTATGCCAAAAAATAAATATCGCGTAATACCAGAAGATGGTCAATGGTAATATTTTACGATCTGCTAAATATAGCAGCAATTAATGCTTTTTGTATTTACAAATTTCATAGTGTAGCAATAGATCAAAATGTGCGAAGAGTACAATTTTTGGAAAAAATAAGTTGGGAGCTCATCAAACCTCAAATAGAACGTGGGTGTAGTAGTGAACTTCGCCGAAGAGCCAGACTACTTGTGAACGTTCCCGATCCTGTTACCCAACAGTAAAATAAAACGGGGTCACGTGGCAGATGTAACGAATGCGGTAGAAAACGTAACAAAATGACCAGAAGATGGTGTGTTCAGTGCAAAAATTGGGCGTGTGCAGATCATTTCAAAGATGTTTGTACAAAGCGCTTAGAAAATTAGTTAACTTATTTGACACTTTTTTATTTGTAATATTTGTTTTTTTTTATATATATATTTCAATATATTTGTTCATTAATGTGAATTTATTTATACTTTCAATATTAAAAAAATTATTTTTCAAAATAAAACAAAAATTTTAACTTTGAACGTATGGATGACACTTGTCATCAACGCGCTCATTTAAGTTACATGAAGAAACGCGCCTAACGCAGGGTTAAGGACAAAATAATAGAGAATGACATCATAAGCAACTTTTATCATGATTCCTATACTTTCCTTAGT